ATTTTTTTATATATATATATATATATATACACACACAGAGAGAGAGAGAGATATAGAGAGAAAAAATCTTAAAGAAAAATTTGCATTCCCCAACAGGAATTGAACCTGTATCCTTCAGGGAAGAGGGAGTCACTGTTTAGCCTGATGTGCAAAATTTTGTTTTATAAGATTTATTGAACTTTCAGGCCAGTAGGTGAAAATATAATATACTGTTTAAATTTTTAAAGGGATAAAATTTATATACATATATATATATATATATATATATATATATATATATATATATATATATGTGTGTGTGTGTGTGAAAAAGTTAACCTGTAGTAAAAGAGTATTTATAAAGGTAAAAGACAATTGAACACTGTATTATTAGCAAACTTGTTTCATCCAATGTGGACTTTTTCAAGGCAAAAATGGAATGAATTTTTTGAAAACAAAATATCTTTAGCAACTAGAAGAATTTAGAAAATGCTACTATATTCATATTGTCAACTGAAAATTACATCAAGTACTTTCATGTGTAGAAATATTGTTTTTATTGTTGTATTGATGGATTCAACCATTTTCTTTTGATTTCTTGATATACTTGTGTATGTTAGTTTGGGAGAGTAGTAATTCTGTTAGGAAAGGGGATATTTGGAAAAAAACCTGGGTGTAAATTAATATTTGGATAATATTCAATAGTGGCACTCTCGAGGATTTTCCTCCTGAGTGAGTTATTTTCTTTTTTTTATGAGTGTAGCATTTTTAAAATCAAAATTGTGGTTGAATTTATTTCTATGTATGACTAGTGCATTAGTTATTTTTTGTGAGGTCTCTTATGCTCATAGATGCGTTTTTTTTAATTTTTGCTTGTTTCTCCAATATATTGGAACAGTTTTGGCAATTTATTTTATAAATGCCTGCTTCAGAAATATTATTGCTATTAGTCTTTGAGGATTTGATTATATCCATAATGGTTTTTGGAAGTGTTTGTGATTATTTTAAGATTATTTTGATTGGATAGGTTGTTCTGGATAGTGGATGTGATGTCAGTAGTATTATGCATCTTGCTTTCATGTAATTTATTATTACAGATTGTTATTTTTGTTTTGATTGTATATTATGTATGCCTTTCTTCCTGCATTGTGGATGAGATGATATGGGTATTGTAGGTTTTTGAATATGTTTTCTATGTATGTTTCTTCTTTAGGTAAATATTGAGGCTGCAAATTCTTAATGCTCTCAGATAGAAACTTATAATAATTCCAGATTTAATTTTAGAAGAGTGGTTTGAGTAGAAACTGATCAGGTCATTTTTGTTTGTAGCCTGTAAACAAAAAAATTGAGTTCGTTATTGTTTCTGTGTAACATGATATCTAGGAAGTGAAGAGTGTAGTTGGCTTTAGTTTCAAAAGTGAAGTCTATTGTAGGTTCAATATTGAAATTTTTTTTTTTTTAATATAAAAAAAATAAATACTTACCACACCAGAATTGGTTGTTGCCGATGTAGCTGGCAGGGGAGGAGGTGGTGGTGGTGGCGGTGGCGAAGGAGCTAGTGGTGTAGGAGATGGTGCTTTGAGAGGAGCTGGCGGTGTTGGGGAGGAATTTATATGCAGTCTGTTGATGTCCGGGACAGCACCTCTGCAAAAATAAAAAAAAAATAACATTTTTCTTCTTTGAATAAAATGTTAAGTTGCTTTGTCAGTGTATACCAGTAAAACATGATACATCTCTCACATTATAACCATTGGATGGCCGAAGAAGGTCTTAGACAGAAGAGAAGAGGAGAGGAGGATGATAAATTTGCAAAGAAACCTGTGAAATTTTTACTTTTCTCTTTACTCATGTATCATACAATTTTGGAAGACCTAATTATGAAGCTAATTTGACTGCAGTAAATGGATAGTTTGGTTGACAGCATAGCCAGCAGTACATACACTAATTTTATATCTCATGTACGATTCTTTTCTTTTCATGTGCCATGTCCCTTCAGGATGTAGGTGATCATGGCTCTCCACTTGCCCCTGTCCCTTGTACCTCTCAATAAGTTTTGTCCCTCTGCCACCTCCCCCAGACTACATTCTGTCATCCACTTGCTTAAGCCCGCCAGATCTCTCTCTATTTGACCTGTGAGTATCAGATTCTCCAAGTCCTCCTTTCTCGTTACATGCTTCAGAAATTTTCAGCTGCCCTTTCCTGATGTTAAGTATAAGCTTCCTCCTTGTTTGTATCCTCTCCAAAACCTCACTGTTGCTCATACACTTAGTTCATATTCTTAGCATCCTTCTGTAGATCCATACCTCCATTGCCTTGAGTCTCTTCATCTTTGAGAAGATGATCCAACATTTGCTGCCATAAAAGAGGACAGATGTCAACGTAACAGCTTAGTACTCTTTTCTTTGTTACCAAAGAAATACTCCCGTCTTTTTAATACTCTGCCCAGCTTTTGGAATGCATCCTTGGCCATCCTCTTATGTCTTCGGATCTCAGCATCACACTTACCATTCTCTGTCAAAACACTTCCCAGATATTTAAACTTCTGTGCCTGCTTGTCCCCGACCTGTAAGTCACATTTCAGACTCATCTTTTTACTGATGACTGTATTCAGTCTTCTTGTAGTTTATGCTAAGTCACTTCTTCTCGCTCTTCTTTGCTACCTTCTGTAGGAGGTTTTGTAATTTCTTTTCCACATCTGCTATCAGTAGTGTCATCCGAGTATCTTGTTAAGATTTGGGCCACCAATGATGAATCCCAGAAGAATTTCCAATTCTCTCAGAATTGGATCTCTTTATAAGTTCAATAAATCCAGTGAGAAGACACGTCCTTGCCTTGCGCTCTTTTCTGTTTTTGTATAGCCACTGAAATCATTCTCTATGCATATGCGTGCCGTCTGCTGCCAGTATAGGTTCTTGATTTACACCCCTCTTAAAATCACATTCAAAATTATGTCTTCAAAAGTCACATGATATACAAGTATGTACAGTGTTTATTTTTACTTCATTGTTTATTTTAATACTGCAATTATACAAGCTTTTCTTACAGTGAAGTCAGAAACTAATGTCAAATTAAAAAGATTTTAAAATATATTCTGCATCATAGACAATCATTAATATTTTCATTGAACAATAATTTATATCAAACCTTGTCAATTATTATTCATTTTTGACTAGTATTTCTTTCATCTTATTTCTCTTGCTTTTCCACCAAGTAGTAATAGTCTTAAGTTGTCTGAATTTCTTAGATGAAGCCTTGTCAATTATTATTCATTTTTGACTAGTATTTCTTTCATTTTACAGTGTAACCCGAATAAAAAGAGACCCGGATATAAGAGAGATTTTCTCTGGTCCCAAATTAGAGCCTGTGTTACCTAAACAAAATAGACCAAACCCGGATATAAGAGAAACCCGGGTATAAGAGACTTCTTCTCCGGTCCCAACAACTCTTATATCTGGGTTACACTGTATTTCTCTTGCTTTTTACAATTTTTCCCCCATGAGACAGTCTTAAACATTTTATTTATGATAATGTAATAAATATGCAAGTTTTACTTTAATAACTTATAGTTCCTCATGCTAGTGAAAAGAAAAATATTTTAACTTCATGCATAAAGACTATTCATTGCATGCAAATGATTTGCTAGAATGACAAAGATTAAATTTTTTCTTTTATTTAAAATTTCAAAGTTGTAAACTGAATCAATATTCCAAGATGTTTTAAGTGCATCTTTTAATGAAAAAAAAGTATCTAATTACTATATTTACATATTTTAATTTTCTGTTCAGTGAATTTTTTGTTTTTTTTTTTAACAAAAAATTGTTAAAAATAATCATCTACTTGAATTTTAATAACTTTAAATGACTAAGTGAAAAATTTAAACACAAATAAGCCAAATGGCTGTACATTTAATCAGCAAAGTATTTAAAAGGAACAAAATTCAAAAATATTTGAAGCAAAGTCAAGAAGCAAAATTTTTGGAAAACTATTTAAAAAACATTCACAACTGGAGAGCAAGTTCTACAAGCATTGTTTTGAAACAAAGTTAAGAGAAATTACATTAAAAAAAAAGGCAATACATAAAAATAAAAAAGCTGAAATTTTGAAGAAAAAAAAAAAAAATTAAAAAAATTGTCAGTTTTTTTGATCATTTTTATGCAGTAAATTTAAAAAATACTTGTGAAATTTTTCTTTAAATTTTCCAAAGAATTTTTTTTAAGAAAAAATAAAAAATAAAATGATTTCAAATGAAATTTTTTTGCAAAATTAGAATATTCTGAAACGGTGAATTTTTAAATTTACTGAAATTTAAAAAAAAAAAAAAAAAAAAAAAAAAATCTCAAATTTGAAAATTTTGTGAAAAGTACAATTTTCAAAAACCATTCATAAAAAAATTCTTAAGAGAATTTTCTGGAAAAAAAAAAAAAAAAAAAAAAAAAATCATGAAAATTCCATTTGCAGAAAAAAAAAAAAAAAAAAAAAAAAATTGAACATAAGTTTTTACATGCATAAAAATATGTTTAAAGTTTAGTCTTTTAAATGCTATTTATAAACATTATACAAAGTTTCCAGTGCAATGTGGGGAAATGGAATTTAGAAAAAAAAAAAAAAAAAAACAGATACAATGAACAAATTTTATAACCTGACAAAATTTCTTATAAAAGATTATTTTTAGTCACTACACATCCTCATTTTTTATTTTCTTAAATGGTGAAATTAACAACCACCAGCCTCAACCAAGAAGTCTTATGAAAGAAAAATTGTGCTCACTAGCAGGAATTTAATTGTTTTTTTTTATAGCATATCAACCAAAAGATTTTTCAATTATAATAATTTTTTATTTGCAAAAGGATAATGATTTTCTGATACGTCCTACAATTTAACCCATAACTGGGCAGCAGAGATGAATTCATACCTTCCCCAAGGGTATTTGTGTATAAGTGAATATAATGAACCTAACTGGAATGAGAACTCAGCACTCCAATTACTATTTCCAAGCTATTATCCATTACATCACATCCAAGCTGACAGCACCTGGTATTCACTAGCAGTCATCCATCCAGGTACTGGCCAGGCTCGACATTGCTTAACATCAGTGATCATATGATAATCGGTGTTTCAAGGCAATGTGGCCATAAGCCAAAGATGTAAAAAAAAAAAAAAAAAAAAGAAAGAAAAGCAACTAAGAATTAACAATTATACCACCCACACACCCAAGAGTGGTCACACATCTAGGTACTGATCAGGTTCAATGTTGCTTAACTTCAGTGATCATATGCAGACTTACAGCACTTGTTATTTCAAAGTGGTCACTCATCTAGGTACTGGCCAGGCTCAACATTGCTTAACTTTGATGGTCATACATTGTTTCAACACAATATGGCCATAACCAAAAGATAAAGACTAAAAAAATACTACACAAGAATAAACAATTCTGAGCTATTAACCATTATATCATCCACACATCAAACTTACAGCACCTGGTGTTCCCGGCAGTCACTGATTCAGGTACTAACGAGGATTTTTTAGTGCAATGTGGCTGCACCACCAACATAGAAGATTATAGCATCTGGTATTCCCAAGCAGTCACTCATCTAGCTACTGACCACACTTGACATTGCTTAACTTCTGTGACCATACAGTAACCAGTGTTTCAATGCAATGTGGTCATAAGCCAAAGATGTAAAAGTAAAAAATAAAGACTAAAAAAAACAAACCCCAAAGAATTAACAATTATTATACCATCCTCACACGCAAGCTTACAGCAGCTGGGATTCTCAAGAGGTCACCCATCTAGATTTGACATTGCTTATCTTTGGTGATTGTACGGGAACCAATGTAAAAGTCAAAAATAAAAAGACTAAAAAAATAATACGAAAGAATACAAAAATGATTAAAAACAACGTAAGCATTCAGAACATTTTAGGCCATGCAAAATTTTTAATCATCTGCAGCTGGAGTTTTATTTTGCAATAAGAAGAGTCAATCTTCATTAATCCAAATGCAGAATGAATGGTTAATAGTCCTTGTTAAAAACATTTGATAACAAATCAATTATAAGACATGTCAAAATATAAATAAAAAGTGAAAAATAAAAACAGAACATAGAAATAATAAACAATGTTAATAAATAAATAAAAAAAAAAAAAATAATAATCATCACAAGGTGATGATTAAGAAATTTTCTTTTTAGGCTACGAAGACATGCAGCCTCCACCTCCTCTAGGCATTGGCATAACCAGAACTTACCCAACTCTGCCAAGGTAAATCTTCTTCTTTTCACGAATTCTTTGGTACAGAAAGAAGATAAAAATAAGGACTATGGGCCAAACAATTATTACATATAATTATTTAGGTAAAGCGAAAATTATGAGATTGCAAAAAAAAAAAAAAAAAAAGAAAAAAAAGTACATTGTTTTATAAGACAGCATTAAATAAAAACTTGTTTCAAAACAAACAAAAATGAATTGAATCATTACAAAACATTCAATTTATGTTCTCATATATATATAAGTTCACCAGCATGTACCTGAGTGCTATTCCACATTGTCTCCTGTGAGACAACCTTCAACAGCCAGGGATAATAAAGTAAGAAAAAAAAATAAAAAAAAATAAAAAAAAAATAAAAAAATAAAAAAAAAAAAAATAAAATAAAAAAAAAAAAAATTAAAATAAAAAATAAAGTAAGAAAAAAAAAATTAAAATAAAAAATAAAGTAAGAAAAAAAAATTAAAATAAAAAATAAAGTAAGAAAAAAAAATTAAAATAAAAAATAAAGTAAGAAAAAATTAAAATAAAAAACCTGTATAATGTAATGTTTGAAGAAATAAAATATGTCAGATTAAAAAATAAATTAATTCTTCTAAAATACAGGCTGACCTCTTTAATCATGCACCCTTCAAACCAGGCAACTGCTGGACTGCAGAAAACCACCCCTAGGAAAACCCTAATTAAACAGGTAAACAGTTTTGCCAGCTCATTCAACACACATTATATCAATCTCTTTATGTACTCCTATTTTAAATTTAATGATTAAAATAAATATTTATTTAATAAAAATGTAATATTGCTTTTTTGCATATCTTAAGTTTTTATATACAAGAATCCTGTTTTCACTTTGCCCTACATTTGCGAGAACTATGAACAAATCACAAGGCCAAATGCTTTGAAATGTTGGAATTTGGCTCCAGAAAGAAATATTTATGCATGGTCAGTTGTATGTTGCTTACACAAGAGTAAGATCGTAATAAATTTATACTTTCCTGTTAAGACAAAAAAAATTCTTCATAGAAAATATTGTTTACCACAAAGTCCTATAAAATTAAATTAAAGAAATTAAACCGCAATGTAGGTTGTTTGTCAAAGTATTTTTCCAAACAAATTAGCTTATTCAAATTTCATTGATTTGTGAAATTGAGCGAAATGTAGAGTTTGTAAAATCTTCAACAATACTAAATACTGTGAGGGTTTCAACATTTGTCAGTGTGTTGCAAAAATATTCTAGTATACCATAATACACCAGAAAATTAAAGTAGACAAGGCAGCATGGAGAGAGAAAGAAAGAAAGAAAAAGAGAGAGAAAGAAAGAAAGAAAAAGAGAGAGAAAGAAAGAAAGAAAAAGAGAGAAAGAAAGAAAAAAGAGAAAGAAAGAAAGAAAGAGAAAGAGAAAAAAGAGAAAGAAAAAAGAGAAAAGAAAAAAGAAAAGAGAGAAAGAAAGAAAGAAAAAGAGAGAGAAAGAAAGAAAGAAAAGAGAGAAAGAAAGAAAGAAAAAAAGAGAGAGAGAAAAGAAAGAAAAGAGAGAGAAAGAAAGAAAGAAAAGAGAGAGAAAGAAAAAAGAAAGAGAGAGAAAGAAAGAAAAAGAGAGAGAAAGAAAGAAAGAAAAAGAGAGAGAAAGAAAGAAAGAAAAAGAGAGAGAAAGAAAGAAAGAAAAAGAGAGAGAAAGAAAGAAAGAAAAAGAGAGAGAAAGAAAGAAAGAAAAAGAGAGAGAAAGAAAGAAAAAGAGAGAGAAAGAAAGAAAAAGAGAGAGAAAGAAAGAAAAAGAGAGAGAAAGAAAGAAAAAGAGAGAGAAAGAAAGAAAAAGAGAAAGAGAGAGAAAAAGAAAGAAAAGAGAGAAAAAAGAAAAGAAAGAAAAGAGAGAAAGAAAGAAAGAAAAGAGAGAGAAAGAAAGAAAGAAAAAGAGAGAGAAAGAAAGAAAGAAAAGAGAGAAAGAAAGAAAAAGAGAGAGAAAGAAAGAAAAAGAAAAGAGAGAGAAAGAAAGAAAGAAAAAGAGAGAGAGAGAAAGAAAGAAAAGAGAGAGAAAGAAAGAAAAGAGAGAGAAAGAAAGAAAAGAGAGAGAAAGAAAGAAGGAAAGAGAGAGAGAAAGGAGAGAGAGAAAGAAAGAAAAAAAAGAGAGAGAAAGAAAGAAAGAAAAGAGAGAGAAAGAAAGAAAGAAAAGAGAGAGAAAGAAAGAAAGAAAAGAGAGAGAAAGAAAGAAAGAAAAGAGAGAAAGAAAGAAATAAAAGAGAGAGAGAAAGAAAGAAAAGAGAGAGAAAGAAAGAAAGAAAAAGAGAGAGAAAAAGAAAAGAAAGAAAAAGAGAGAGAAAGAAAGAAAGAAAAAAGAGAGAGAAAGAAAGAAAAGAGAGAGAAAGAAAGAAAGAAAAGAGAGAGAAAGAAAGAAAAAGAGAGAGAGAAAGAAAGAAAAAGAGAGGAGAAAAAGAAAGAAAGAAAGAGAGAGAAAGAAAGAAAGAAAAAGAGAGAGAAAGAAAGAAAGAAAAAGAGAGAGAGAAAGAAAGAAAGAAAAAGAGAGAGAGAAAGAAAGAAAAGAGAGAGAAAGAAAGAAAGAAAAGAGAGAGAAAGAAAGAAAGAAAAGAGAGAGAGAAAGAAAGAAAAAAAGAGAGAAAGAAAGAAAGAAAAGAGAGAAAGAAAGAAAGAAAAGAGAGAGAAAGAAAGAAAGAAAAAAGAGAGAAAGAAAGAAAGAAAAGAGAGAGAAAGAAAGAAAGAAAAAAGAGAGAAAGAAAGAAAGAAAGAGAGAAAGAAAGAAAGAAAAGAGAGAGAAAGAAAGAAAGAAAAGAGAGAAAGAAAGAAAGAAAAAGAGAGAGAAAGAAAGAAAGAAAGAGAGAAAGAAAGAAAGAAAAAAGAGAGAGAAAGAAAAGAAAGAAAAAGAGAGAGAAAGAAAGAAAAAGAAAAAGAGAGAAAGAAAGAAAAAAGAGAGAGAGAAAGAAAGAAAGAAAAGAGAGAGAAAGAAAGAAAGAAAAGAGAGAAAGAAAGAAAGAAAAGAGAGAGAAAGAAAGAAAGAAAAGAGAGAGAGAAAGAAAGAAAAAGAGAGAGAAAGAAAGAAAAAGAGAGAGAAAGAAAGAAAAAGAGAGAGAAAGAAAGAAAAAGAGAGAGAAAGAAAGAAAAAGAGAGAGAAAGAAAGAAAAAGAGAGAGAAAGAAAGAAAAAGAGAGAGAAAAGAAAAAGAGAAAAAGAGAGAAAGAGAGAAAGAGAAAAAGAGAGAAAGAGAAAAAGAGAAAGAGAGAGAAAAAGAAAAGAAAGAGAGAGAAAGAAAGAAAAGAAAAAGAGAGAAAGAAAGAAAGAAAAGAGAGAGAAAGAAAGAAAGAAAAGAGAGAGAGAAAGAAAGAAAGAAAAAGAGAGAGAAAGAAAGAAAAAGAGAAAAAGAAAGAAAGAAAAGAGAAAAGAAAAAAGAGAGAGAGAAAGAAAGAAAGAAAAGAGAGAGAAAGAAAGAAAGAAAAGAGAGAAAAGAAAGAAAGAAAAGAGAGAAAAGAAAGAAAGAAAAAGAGAGAGAAAGAAAGAAAAAAGAGAGAAAGAAAGAAAGAAAAAAGAGAGAGAAAGAAAGAAAGAAAAGAGAGAGAAAGAAAGAAAGAAAAAGAGAGAGAAAGAAAGAAAGAAAAAGAGAGAAAAGAAAGAAAGAAAAGAGAGAGAGAAAGAAAAGAAAAGAGAGAGAAAGAAAGAAAGAAAAGAGAGAGAAAGAAAGAAAGAAAAAGAGAGAGAAAGAAAAGAAAGAGAGAGAAAGAAAGAAAAGAAAGAGAGAGAAAGAAAGAGAGAGAGAGAGAGAGAAAGAAAGAAAAAAAGAGAGAGAGAGAGAAAGAAAAGAGAGAGAGAGAAAGAAAGAAAAAAAGAGAGAGAGAGAAAGAAAAGAGAGAGAGAGAGAGAAAGAAA